TGAGGCTTCTTTACGCATTTCCTGGACGCTTGCCAAACATATGAAGCCATTTAGTGACGAGGCTATCGTTAAAGAGTGTTTTTTGGAAGCAGGAAATTCATTATTTGAAAATAAAAAGGATGTTGTCGATACTATTCAGCGTATTCCAATATCTACTCTTTCAAGCACGAGGAATACACAGGTATTGGCAGATGAAACATCGAAAACGTTAAAACAAATCTTGGCTGTCACTAAATATTTTGCTTTGGCAATTAATGAGTACTGCGATATTACAGATACAGCAAAGCTTGTCATATTCGTGTGCTACGTGGATAGAACCAGTGAAGAGTTTGTTGAAGAAATTTTGACTATTTGACAGGAGAGGATTTACACAAGGCTGTGGTGGACTATTTTGGAAAGGATAGTGTGGATTTAAAACAGTTATTTCGATTCCATCTTCGAGCCTCGAAGCTATCTTCCTAAACGAGATGACCTAGTTGCCTGGTTCCAACTACGTAACCAGTATGATCTCCTGAGGGGGGGTTACAACTACTGGGGTCTCTGGGTAACCCCACACTGGTTACAGCACTGCCTGGTTTAGTGCTGAGTGTCCGGACTGAGGAAGTGTAGTAGGTTTTAGAAACGCACCCTCCAGGAATATAATTGGTGACCCCTGGTGTATCGTGTATAATGATATCGAAAGAGTAGCAAATGGGTAATTAATGTTAAACATCAGCTGACTAATAAAATAGAGTATACGATGCTGAGTAGAGAACAGATCAATTGGTTCGATTTGGCAATAGATTTCATCCCTGAATCTAATTTGTACTTTGACGAGATTTTTCGGCAATCTCACATATGACTGTCAGGACATAGATGTAAGAGACAAAAAGGCAAAGAAGGCACATCAGAAAATACATAAACGATTCCTGGAGAGAAATCGTTATCTCAGAAGCCCAATGCTTTCATGATATTTAAAGGTCAAAGATGCATATGACTTTAACGTTAGCGAAATTAAATTGTTAATCATATTCAAGTTTAAACACAATCAATCTATGAGCTGATAATCATCCTTAATGATACAATAATTAATGAGAACTTTCTGTTTATACATGAGATCAGTGCTTGAAAAACCAACCGTAAAAGGAACAAAAACGAATTGCCAGACCATCAATAGCAGCGTCAAAACATTACTTTCTTAATACATAAGCAAAATAATTAAATTAAAGAAAAGCTCTATTTCCAACATTGCTAGAAGGAAGGTACGTGTCAACTTGCATTGGCATGGAAATATTTTTTTTGTTTACTAATTAACGCGTAATATCTAAACACTCGAAAATTCGAAGGTGACACCTAAATTTAGCAGTCGCTATTTGAACTGCGATAAAAAATGTTTTGAATTTTTTATCTCATGTTTGACATTATTCATTAGGCGAATTTTGATTTCATTGACAGCGGAATAATATGAAAAGGAATGATTTTAGTCGATTTTTTTTTATTCTCGCAAAGCTTAGCTAGTTTTGTAAAACGACGTTATGTCCATATACTGTTAAAATGAACATTTTTGACAGTTTTATTCAGATTCTAAGGAGGTCCGCTCCAGATATTTATAAGGGTGTCAAACAATTACACAGGACAAGCCTGAGACCCATAATTCAGAGTATCCTTTTCGTAAGGTTTTTGGTGCGCTGAATACGAATCTGAGCTCCAAATTGCCAAATTGGCTCTGGTTGCTGAAATATCTTATCCTCCTTCTCTTTTTCTTCTATCTTCTTCTTCTTCTTCGCGTGCCATATCAGAATAATCCGACGTTGGAGATCACCATTGCGAAGGCTTCTCGATCTTCTGCAATATGGAATAATTGTCCTGCATTTGATATCTGAGTCCATTCACGAATGTTTTTTAACCAAGAAACTTGTTTTCTTCCTACACATCTACGGCCCTCTATTTTGCCTTTAAGGATCAGTTGTAATATTTTATATCGACTTCCTCTTACTATATGTCCCAGATAATAGTAGTTCGAGTAATAAGTAGGCCAAGATAAAGAACGAAATTATCATAGGAGGATCATGTAATTGTGATGAGAAGCTTAGACTCAGAGGTTGGAGAGCCATATGCAGAGACAAGAAAGAATGGAGGAAGATTGTGGAACCACAAAGTCACACAGCCAATTTTAAAACAAAAGAAGATTAATGAGGAATGAGGACTAATTCCCAGCCACAAATGAATTGGAAGAGTGTGATAAAGAGAGCATTGACTACGCCAGGAGGTGGAGATGCCACGATAATGCCACATGAGAAAATCTGTGGAATCAATTTTCTAAAGTTCTAGGGGTATGTTTAGGTACGTATCGAACAAAAGATTGCGGTAGTAGTAATATTTTACTTGTCTTTGACATGGAATATTTCCCCAACAGGCTGCACTAATTTTTTTTTCGCATTTTCGGGCTTGGGTGCTGCTTTTTCTGATACCGCCAATATTTTTAGTATTTTAACAATAACCAGCAATGTCCTGATTCACATAATAAAGTTACTATAATTGTGCTATGGTTAAATGTAAGTAGAAATTACTTCATATATTTTTGTGCTTTTTTATTTTTATAAAACCATTATGGAATCTATAATTTATAGATTAGATATTCTTATATTAAAGTAGTTCTACTTCTACTTCTTCTAAACTTATTTATCAGACTTGCAAAAGATGTTTTTTCTTGTGGCAAACCTGATTTGAAAATTTGGAATATCTTTTTCTTTTGCTTAGAAATTGCCTTATTCTATCAACCTCGCTTTTTAGGCTCAAACAATATTTTTAATGGATGTGTTCAATTGAGAAAATCAAAACCATATAAAAAAATATTGTATCTTTTCTGTTTTGACTAAAGTTTTTAACTTTTGATATTTTATGTTGCCTGCAATACAATACAAATGGTACGTAAAATATTTTCATCGTTTATAATAATTAACACAATCGTTAAAATGTTTGATTTGTATCTATGTACTATCACAAATCCCTATTGAACGGGATTGACGAACTCCCATGCCATTGTTTACTGTAACTTTGAAATTTAATCCAAATATTGAAATTATATTTCAAGTGTTATCTAAAATGGCAGAAGGCAGGTCAGTTTTAAAACTGTGCATCTTTTTCTACAGTTCGTAATGCGTTGTGGTAACATTTGCGATAGCTGTCTGTACGCAAATAACGAAGAACATGTTTGTTTTTGGAGTAGATAACGGATGTAACAAGATTTTTTTGGAAAATGTTATTTACCTAATGTCTGTCTGCATTAACAATACGAGCTTTTTTCCGTTTAGGATGTTGGTTTGAAGTTAACCTGTACAGATAAAATCCTTTCGCTTTCTTCTATTTATACGATTTTTTAACGGTTTATTATGCGTAATATTTTTTGTTACTATTTGTGCATAAGCTATAATATCTACGTATTATAAAATCAGGTTGTAGAGGTCTATTTGATACTTCACCTACTACAGATATTTGTCATATTTTTTAACTTGGAATAAGAATCTTTACTACAGTTTTCTTCATTACGTATAGATTTTCTATCAGATATCCAATAATTATAATAGTACATGTATAGCGTCTGAAGTCGCACTCTGTCGAAAGCCTTTTCTAAATCGACGAAGCTCATTGAGGCTGCTTGTCGTATTTTATAGATTTCTCAATAATTTGTCTGATTACAATGGTTTGCTTAGTGCTAGAATCGTATTAATTACAGATTTATCATTACTAGCCTTTAAAAATAGCATTATGAAGCACAATTACTGGAATATATTAAATCAAATGTGCGTTTGAATGATTAAAAAAATACCGAATAATCGAAGAAGCGATAAAAATTACTTAAAAGTCGTGAAACTGTCATTAAACCGTTATAACGCAGGAGAGAACAGGACTAAAATATAAAAAAAATCGTTATTGGATATTGGAGGAGCTATAAGATTACTTAAACGTACAATTGCTGGTAATTCTCCAAATATTTGCAAAAAATGTTTAATTTAAAAATTATTATAATAAATAGTTTTTATTTGCAAAAAGAATTCACAAAGAGGTAAACAAAAAACAAATAAATAAATAAAACCGATTTATTGGTTCCTCGAAGACTTCTAAACACGAATATCTTCAATAAAAAAATTCTATTTCTCCGAGACAAACAAATAAATTCAAATGAATCTTCCTCCTCTTTATTTTTGTTGTCTGTCCGCCGTTTCCTCATAGAAACCGAAAGTCTATGCGATGGTCTATTTTTGTACACAGTAGTGACATTGACTGAGGTCAGTTTTACGTAATCTAAAAAAATTGCGCCTCGCCTGGTTTGCTTAGCTTGTCAGTTCATTTTCATCACTCCGGTCGAACCGGTATTTGAATTTCAAACTATCATAGTCGATAATGACATGTTAATTATGTTTAAATATTTTTGAATTTTGACATTAATACTTATTAGAGAGGAATTCTTTGTCTGATATCTAATTCAGTACAATTGAAACGTCAAATTGGCTTTTGCGTTTATATACATACATATATATTATAATCATTTGGACAAAAATTGCAATAAAATAACATATCAAATATTATTATGTAGCTAGAAATCAAACTTTAGGAAAAATAGATAGTCGAAGTGAAGAATATTGGACATTCAAACATTCTAAAAACCGACAAAAATTCAAAATTGGTAGGTATAACTAAATTTCGACTAAAAAAAGAGAATTAAAATTATTCTTCTGAAGCGTATTCCCATTAAAACAGTAATTACTATGAGAATTAAAATGATAATAAGGATGATAAAAAAGAGTAATCAGGAGGTGAAGGATATAAACACTCCTTTCTTTCCCAATATTGTTTACTATATTAATATATAATTTATAAGATAAGTTTTTTAACTATTTCGGCATCTATTTGACAAATATATTAGGAAAGCAGAGTCTTCCGTCTTACTCGATGCTTTCCTGTTGTTCCACTAATCAATCATGACCGATATCTTTGATTTTCGTCAACTGCCAACTGCGATGTGTACTTATGCATGTTTAATTGATTTTGAGAAGGTATTTGATAAAGTCCCACATGGGAAACTAATCGATATCCTAAAAACATCAGGACTCGATGGTAAAGATATAAGACTGATCTCAAACTTATATCTCCAACAAAAAGCAACAGTACGATTAGAAAATGAACTGTCCGAGATCTTCAGTCGAAAAAGGAGTTAGACAGGGTTGCATATTGTCACCGGCATTATTTAACATATACTCTAAAAACATCTTTAGAGAGGCCTTGGACGAATCAGAAGATGTGATTGCTGTAATGGCCATTTACAGCAGCATTAACTTATAAACAACATTAGATATGCAGACGATACAGTGTTGCTGGCAGATAGTGCGCAAGGGCTTCAAAGGCTGATGATAGTTGTAGAAGCATGTAACAAAATACGGCCTAAAACTAAATTGCAAGAAGACAAAAATAATGAGCATTATTAAGAACACCGGCATAAACGCCCAAATTACAATTATAACGATACAGCATTAGAAAGGGGAAAAATATGCTATTTGGGCTGCAATATTAAGGATACTTGGGATCACAGCTACGCAATAAAAACTATTGAAAAAGCCAGAAGCTCTTTCAACATCCTTAGGAAGATCCTCTGCAACTTGTCTTTAAGTATCAATATATGCATAAGAATTCTTAGATGTTACGTCTTTAGTGTTCTCCTCTATGGAGTAGAAAGCTGGAGCCTTACAGAAGATGTCATAAAACGATTGGAGGCATTTGAAATGTGGTGCTACCGACGTATGTTGAGGGTCTATATACACCACACAAGTACATAACTATTCTCCAGAGGTTAAGAAAAGACAAAGAAATTATTAACACCATAAAAAACAGAAAATTGGCTTACTTCGGCCACGTCATGCGTAGTGATAAATACCGACTTCTACAGTTGATTCTACAGGGCAAGATTGAGGGTAAGAGAGGCCCTGGACGTAGACGTATATCCTGGCTAGATAATCTTAGGAATTGGACTGGTCTAACGTCAACTGATCTCTTTCGAGCTGCTGTGAATAGAATAAGATAGGTCAATGTGGCCGCCAACATCTCTAGAAGATAGGCACATTTAGAAGAAGATACTTAAATGTATTATACTTCGTTTATTTGGGATGTTGCATTATAACAAAGTTCTTAGGCGTAGGAAGCGTAGGAAGAAGACGCGTTTCTTGGTTGAAGAACCAGGAGTGGTTTGGTTGAAGCTCAAGGCAATTCTTCAGAGCAGCTGCCTCGAAGGTCAGAATACAAGACCAGTTAGGCCACTTGTCATTCTGCAAACGAATATACCAAACAACACAGCAATATGATGAATGACGAAGTATATAAAATACAATTTTAAATGTGACTATAAGAAAATGAAGTAAGAAACAATTACAGGATAAATTATAATAGTAGATCTGTATAGAGAATATTTATTTAAAAGAGAAAGAGACATAACCAGAGAGAGAGAAAGAGAGAGAGAGAGAGAGAGAGAGAGAGAGAGAGAGAGAGAGAGAGAGAGAGAGAGAGAGAGAGATAAAGAAATATATGAACGCAGTTAATAAGTGGTCCTAATAGATTCAACAAAAACTTAAAATGTTAAATAAGGGGAAAGCCTCATGGACAAGAGTATCCAATTAACTTCAGATCTGGGCCTTTAGATCATTGCTCATATTCTGCCTCTTCCCCTTTACATTCTACGGATATGGTTTTATTTGTTTAGAACCTAGGTTATGTTCTTACTCCATTATACCAAAATAGTTGTTTAGGTTGTAATTTATCTACTTTTTGCGTTAATCTTGGTTTTCTACTTTACTTGCACAACAATAGAAAAACAACATTACAGAAATGATTATTGCGAATAAAAATTGCCTCGTACGGAATCTATTAGTATCTAACATGTCTACGGTTAAGATAGGTCAAGTTTAAACAAAAAACAACACCTGAAACGTTGCGGATTTCGACATAGCGTTTTATCGCCCCTCATGTTTTTTTATGAGATTGACGTTCATATTTAAAAGATTAAAAAAAATCCTTGAAAAATGTTTGTCGAATACCGCTTGATAAAGCGTTACATGGTGTTAAAGTGTATCTGCAAATGTGCATTTTTAGAAAAAAAAGTGCCGTGTGCAACCTTGTAATCATGTGTTGTTAGTCGTTAGACAGATTAGAATTTATATTTTTATTTTTTTGGCAAAAAAATATACGATTTGAAAACTTTCCTTTGTTGAAACAGCCAGCCGTTAGACGGGTTTTTATTTAAACAGTCTAAACTGCACAAAAATAAGATATATCAATACGCATATATATGTATACTAAATATTTATCTTCTCTTTATAATTAAAGTTACAATTCAAAAAAATTTTGAATTTGTGTTTTAATCAAAAATGAACACTACCTCTAGACTTATGACATAACCTAAAAACGTAATACTACTCATAGAAAGTTATATAAAAATCTAATCTATAAAAAGCAAAGCGATTATAATCATGTTCGAATAAAACTTAAGAGGATTTCTACACAATTTCAAACCTACATTTTAATTCTTTTTATTTAGGAGGTTAGCTAAGATTATTTCTATTTTTTATGAAATTGGCTACCAAAGATTCAATGAATGCAAATGTGTACGCGCAAAATTGGAGAATACTAAGTTGATCCCTTATTTGAGCGCTTTCTTTGACACACTTTCATAAGTGACGATTGTGTTTATAAGTAGTACCTATGATAATGTATTTTAGTATATGTAGAGTATAATAAGTACAGCTTCAGTCATAGTCATAAAAACAAAAAGATATGTCAACTTCCATTTAACGATAATGAAAAAACTATTCTTGTTCCTATTCTACAAAAGCAACTCATAGTAAAAGGAATAATAGTTTACATTCAAATTGACGGAATGTGAAATAAAGTACCTCAATTAAATTGCCATTTCACATTTTACAGTCAGAACTGATTTGAAATAAAATATAATTATTAAGTATATTATATTTAAAAAAAATGACTTACTTGTTGCGAAAGGTTGGTAAAACTGTTGTGACATGTGACTCGGCGGCCTCTGTCCATGGTGTGTGTTATTCCACGAGAACGGATGTCTTGGAAAGAGAGTGCCTACTGGTGAGTGTATGGAAGGTTGCAGTCTGGCTTTCAGCTCGTCAGTTGAAGTGTGCCCTGAAGATGAACTGTCGACGTCCGATACTCCGGAGTCAGCGGGACTAGGTGGGAGAGAACCTGTAAAAGATCATCGGCAAACTTTTTACTGTGAATTTTGCTATACCACGTTAAAATTTTAAAGTGTAATGCAATAGCCATTAGAAGTACCAATCTGGAAATCCAATACCAACAATAGAAAGGAATAGAAGCTGATCTTGGAAGGGCTTAAATCCTCCCAGATAAATTCAAGATGGCAAAATAAGAATTGAAGAAAAAAACAGATTCTATTGAAATTTTAAAGAAATAATAATGGAAAATGTAGAAAATAAAACTAAATCAGTAATAAGAATATTGGGAATAATCAAGCATGCTACAAAAGTTTGTCAAAATTTAAAAATGAACAAACAGTTGAAACGTTAATAAAGATTTTATTTTCTCATCATATTTAATTGATGATTCTAATAAATTTTAATGTCCACTTTTAAGGGCGAAAAGAAAAAGTACATGTCTTCAAAAAGCTTTTTTCCTCTGGTCATTACTTGGCATAAAAACACAATGGCCATTTAAATGGCCCAAGCATATTAATAAACATAAACTTGTGTGATATCCAGGTAGATTATGACAAAGCACAGAAACATAAATATGAGCATATTTCCCATGAGCTGAAAAAACGGTTGGGCAGTTACTTAATCTGCTACAAAACAAAATTAATGTTTTGCTTTTTACCAAAAACGGATTAATGTTTTACAGAAGGGTCACTCATGATCGAAAAAATTAATTTCCTAGATGTCTTTAAGGATTCATAGTTTTGGCATTGTAAGGATAGGGGCGAACGGGTATAACGCAGTACAGGGTTGGACTGGTTTTGAGTGGAAAATTTCAAAATTTTCTAAATTTTGTTTATCTTTTTTTATAAAAAAAATGAAATATATATTATCCTGTTTTGTTTATATATTTTTCAAATTTCTATCGAATAATAGAATAAATACCACGAAAAATGAACAAAAAATAAAACTAGAAAGAATTTTAAAAGCAAAAGTAATGTCGATCGTAAATTTGGATAGAATAAGTGAAGAAACACTAAGAAAGGAAAAAAGAGAAGAATCTATATGAAAAGAAAAACAAAAAAATAAAGAATTTGATGTACCTATCTTGATTATATGCTTCCTAAGTAAGGAATATGGGCATCAAAATCCTCTCCACCATACACCAAACACCATAATGTTTACCATGGATGATTTTTACTCAATACCACGTTTTCTATCAATTTTTTTTATATCAATATCAAAATGGTGGCATTCATTTCTGGATTTTTTATTGTAGAATTGTTTCGTAATCTTATAAATATTTTAATTTTTATATTACTATGTGTGTGACAGAATGGGGTAGACGTAAACTCATCACCAATTAGAATACATGTACTTGTATGTAGTATAAACTCATCACCGTAAGAAAACAAGGTTTTTAAAATAGACCTAGAGTGACTGATCACTGGGCTATCTACACCCCGAGGCAAGAAAAGACCATAAAATGCTTGCAAACCGCTAAGGTAACACTTAGATCGTGTGTATCTTAACAAAGTACCCCTAGAAGTCAATGACAAACTAAAAAAATGCAACGCAAATCAAATAACAAAGTTGGAAACTACTAACGATGTTACCGAAAATAGCAGATGCAGCTGAATTCTTAGACCTCAAATCCATTTATAGTGGCAAATACGTCTAATACGCTACAGACCGTGAGCCTTCCGATATAAAAATGTTAGTTAAATTTGTGTAACAGTTAACAGGCAATCTTCCACATTAGAAACCTGAGCCTTGAGGCAAAAATGCTGGTGATGAGTTTACTCATCTGCGGTGATCAGTTTACGGGTCTCCAAAGGATCAGTTTGCTATATCTCGGAGGGTCTAATAATTTTATGATTGGCTATAAAGTTATGAGTTCATACATGTTCATAAAATGTTTATATTGTATGCAGTCATTTATTGTTTTTATGACAGTCGAATAATTTAGGAAATGTTCTAACAGTAATACTGAATAGAAATATAAGAACCTGACAGGATACACTTTTCTAATAATCGATAGAGTTTTTAAAAATCATGAGATGTTTAAACAATTATTTTTACTTAAGCATTTATTATTACGCAAATCAATTATGAATATAACATACAGAAGAGTATTAAAAAACAATGAGTTTATTTCAATAAAATTTGATGTTTCCAGCTTTCGGCGCGTTTGTTTTGTCTGAGATAATTGATAGACCTCTTAAATTACTATTTATTTATTTTTATTTGACATTTTTGTGTTCTACTAATATGTTATGTAAGATAATCACTCTACCACAATTCCCAAAGGTTTTAAATGTTTAATGATAATTGTAAAAAGCTGTACGGAAATATTCAGCTAAGGACATTAAATTAAAAATTCAAATAGGGCAGAATCACCCCTGAAGGGCTTAGAGAGAGTTGGAAGTAAAGCGCCAGGCCGCTTGTCATTAGTTACGCAGTCTTTGTTAGAAAGGGTAGTAAATAAACAACACACCCCAATAGCATGTGGAAAAACCCTACAATTGAACAGGTTTTAAATCCATCGTAGATGTCCGGTCCATCCCTCTATGTCCGGCCTGACCTGATGACCTTTTTGCCCATTAATCATATCTATTATACAAGACAGGGTCATTCTTCGAAGCGGACCAAGCTATCCCTCGGTAGCCGTTGGTTCACGCTGGTCGCCACGGATGAATTGGCCGATTGCAGGTATCCAGATTATGTCGTTACCTCACACTGACCGTTGGTTAGTGCTTTTGATAAAAAGATATAACCTACGTGAGAACTTCGGGTTACTTCTTTCGGAGTTCGGGTGTCATAAGAATTGTTTCGTAATTTGCATACGAATTCAACACCAAGAAATGTGTTTTGATTTATTCGATCGTCGCCGTATCGCCTTGTAAGCATAGAAAAAAATCGTGCCACTTTTGTTGGCAAACGGATTTTTCTCCAATTTAAATTTGCATATTTTTGGGTGCGGTTGTCAAAACACGAGTAACCGTCATATCAATTTCTTTGTTCCTTCGCCGATGCAAGCGCGAAGGGCCAGAACTCATGCCCCCCAATTTTGGTGAGTATTAGACTTCTACTGATATCCCCATCAACGAAAGTAAAAGAATTTGCTAGAGTTTAAAATTATGGTTCTAACCTTTATTTTTCTACTTCTAACCGCCAAAAATACAAATCTAAAGCCTATTGCTTTTTAATATAGTAATTTAAAAGTACTAAAAGCACTATGCCAAGGTAAAGGCCGTAAGATAAATGACAAATATACATAAATAGGTTGACAAGTATTATAATGGGATAGTGTCAGCAGAAATTAAAGATACACCGGGATTAAAGTTAAATCTTACATTCAGTATAAAACGAATGCCAATAATTCACAAATAACTCATTAAGCACTAACTGCAAAAAGTCTACTGAATAGGTAGGAAAAGATAGGACGGTTATGTAGTGTAACATACATATTATACAAGTTTCAACTAACATATTCAGTTTCCTTCTTCTTTAAGTGCCATCTCCGCGACGAAGGTTGACAATCATCATGGCTATTTTGACCTTCGATTCAGTTTCCACACTTTGTTTTTAGTTTTAATCTTTATTTCTAAGTATTTTAATTTCTTCTTTTTCTATAGTATTGGTAGTGCTTGGTAGACCCTTTTTAGTGAAGGTAACCAACCACTCTCTAGTAGATTGTCTAATTCTTACATTCACACCCTGTGTCCACCATATTTGCCCATAAACTATTGTCGACAGGTTTGAGTGTGAGATCTGGATTATACATCTAGTAATTAACATAACTTCATAATTTTATCTGTTGGCTTCTCCTATGTGACTCCATAATTTTAGACAGTTATCTTAGTTGTCAGTTGTCATATGTCAGATATCACTTTGAACATTTCCGTTAAATCTGAACGAGAGGAACCATTCTGTCTCCTGCCTTTGCCTATAATGTAGCATACTAAACAATTATTTTAAACTGTTTGCCCTTTTGTCTAGTGTATATAAATGTTTATGACATTCCTAAATGTGCAGGATAGCCAATTTTTTGACGAAGTAAGACTAGAACGTTATGTATTTTTTATCAATCATTTCATTTTATCGTTTTTGTCGAAGTTTGCTACTTTGCTTTCACTTAAAAAAGTTTTTTTGCTTATTACAGAGGCCCCTGACGATGCTCTGAAAGCATAAGTACTTAGGCAAGATTTAATAAAAAAACTGCTCGATATCTGCTTTTTATTTGTAAAATTCCTAATATTCAACCATATCTTATTACATTTTATATGAATAGCTATCCAGACAAGACAAAATAGTAGGAATATTAGACAAATCACTGTTATAGCAGGAAGAAGATCTTGGTGTTTTAAATTTGTGTAAGTAGACTAACTATTGTTTCATATAAGTAAATACGATAGTGTTACGAGACAGGACAAAACAGGACAAATCTAAATAATGTAATGGTATTTTTTAGACAATCTCTCCTACTCAATTACTATTCTTTTTAGTTTTAATATCATTGATATTCCTTCAAAGTCTTGTAGCTTTGATCTTATATGAATATTAAATATTGACCCGCCAGCAGTTAACATTCCACACCCCACACTTTTAAAATATTCATACAAATTACTTCCATTCTTATCCCGAGTCAAAATCTCAGAGATTAGACCTCTTAGGTAAAAATATTTTCACCTAACTCTTTTCATCACGTTGCACAATGGGCGAGAGGGCTCTCGGCGATGTAAAATGGTTTATCACATTAAGAAAGGTGCGAGATAGGCCTCCAGGTATAAGAATCTGCAATATTTGTCATAACAATGAAACTACAAGTAGCATTACAATAGATCTAGCACCTGATTAGGAACTATAACAATGACGATGGTCCATTTTGACCAAAACAATGTAATGGATACCTTTTGTAAATCTTTTGGATGGATGCGCTTAAAAAATATAAGTCGACAAGGAAGGATTGGGATCAAAGGTTTAAAAGATTTAAATGAGAGCAGTTTTGTAGTTCTTGAATGGGAAGGGAAT